TGCCTATAGAACCTCTCAATCTCACTCAGAATCTCAGGTGTCCCGGAAACGATGCTGCCACACTCAGTCTTCAGCTTTGACAGTTGGCTCTTACTGGCAGACAGATCTCTGGCAAAGACTTTGGAGCCCTGGTTCCGCTCGATCGCTTCTTCAATACGAGCAGTATTGAAGTTGCGCAAGTCTCGCCGCATGCATTTGGAGATCTGTCTGTTCAGTTGCCTGTATGCTGTCAAATCTGTTGACGATTGCAGCCTCATCTCCCGTCTTTTTTTTTTTTTATAAAAAAAATTACTGTAGACGAGAAGTAGTAAGATACTAACCAAGCAAAAACAAAAAAAAAAAAAAGGAGAACCACACAACCACCCAAAAAAAAAAAAAAAAAGTTTTTGTGTTCTTCTGCGGCGGGTCTTGCAGAACTTGGCTCCGACCGCATGGACAGTTTCTACGAGCTTGTCATTCATATCGTCCACTGCATTGCAATCTTCTAGGCACTGAAAGCGGTTACGTAACTCGAGCTGAAAAGTTTCGGGATTCTGGATCAGAGCACGAGGGGGACGGAGAGTTGACTTCATTAGACAAGACCTCTCCAACTTAACGTTTAGGTTCAGTGTGCCTCTAACCATTCGGTGATCGCTGCCAGTGTTCACCCTTGCGATCACTGAGATATCACTGAACAGTTGGCGTCTGGTCCTAATAATGAAATCCATCTCATTTTTTCTCGAACCATCGGGGTTCGACCAGGTCCACTTCCTGTGGGGCCGCTTCTGGAAGAAAGATTCCATCATAAAGAGTCCCTCTTTATCCATAAAGTCGGCCAGCTGCTGGCCCCTACGGTTCCATTGCCCTACTCCAAATTTCCCTAACTTCAGCTCACCACTTTTTCTTGTGCCTAGTTTTGCGTCGTCTCTTTTGTGAAGTCTCCCATCAACACCGTGTAGTGGGTTTTGGAGGAATGCATGGCTATGGAAATATCAACATACATTTCCTGCACCTCCTCATCGGGAAGTGCCGAGGTTGGTGCGTAAACCTATATGACCTTCAGCGAATACTGTTTGGTGATTCTGAGTATCAAGTACGCGACCCTCGTCGACATACTCTCAATCTTTACAACGTTGTTGACGAGAGACTTGTGGACGATAAATCCGACACCTCCTTGGGACAGATGGTCGCCTTCCCGGTGATAGAACAAGTTGTCGGACTCGAGGATTACCGTGTCCTCCCCCTCTCTTCGGACTTCGGATAATCCAATAATATGCCAGCGCAACTTGTCTACCTCTTCTTCCAGCTCCAGAATCTTCTCGTCAGTCCTCAGGGTGCGTGCGTTATATGTTGCCAGGTCCAGTCGTCGTAGGTGGCAACCGAACCTCGACCGGAGATTCTTAGTACCCCCTGCCCCGCCGTTACCATGGCCGCCACCGTAGCCAGGAATAGCGGGGCCGTCGGGCCGGACTGGGGCCCGTTTGTTTGCGTCGTTATTCATGGATGGGATATTTGCCGTAGTTGCCACGCTTGGCGAGCGGGTTGGCAACCGCAGTTTTTTTATTGTATATTTGTTGTTATCAGGAAGATGCTGCTGCCCATCTCCTGCCTGTCTCCCTCTGTCGCCTCTTACGACACCCACGGGAAGATATGGGGTAGTGGATATTCTCAACCGCCACTACACGGCTAAATCGATGTCATACTAGTAGAATCATATAACAGTGACTGTGGAATTGCATTAACGGCAAATTTAAGTACACCATACATAGTCTTTAATCCTCAACCGATTCACCCGTGGCAATATAACAGACTGGGAATCAACTTCAATTCTGCTTTCGTTACCGTACCGTACGAACACCTTTGTTCTTTATATTGTGAAGCTATATTTTATATCACATAATGCATTGGGTATATTATATCGGTTCACAAGTGACCGACCATGTATAACTTTACAAGTATTTAGGTGACAATCTGCCGTCGCTAGAAAGCATAGCGTCGAATGCTAGCTCAGTGTTTGTAAACGGGCATCAATCAGTGAACGGTGGAGTTGCCAGACCAGACAACGTTATTGACATTGGAGGCACACATCAGACCACCTAAATTATTACCTACGGAAATAGAAAGCTTTATTAACGAAGCCGAATTGGTGTTATTTATGTGAACTTGGGTTCCACTGTGAAGGACTCCACAATGCCAAAAGTAAAATTAAATGAGTTTTGGTCAACGTTTAGTAAGTTACCTTTAAAAATTCTTTCGAAATGGGACGGTGGAGTGATAGAGAATCTCTCAAGGAATGTAATAACAATGCGATGACTACCACAATACGACATTCTAAAGCACGATAATGTAAAAGTGTTTATTTCTCACGCTGGCATTCTAAGTACTATTGAAATATTTAATACTTTAAAGTAATTAAATAATAAAATTTACCTCTTACGGTTTTAAAACAAGGGTTCAATTTAAAACACTAAAACCATTTCCATTATCTGGGTAGAAAACTTCTTGTCCATTCCTCTCTATCAGCCGTCATTTCCATACTTACTCTTTTCATTCTCATATACTTTTCACACAATCGATCCATCTTTTATTCGGCCTTCCTCTGCCCGTGTGTCCCTCCACATTCATATTCAACACTCGTTTTGTGACACCCGCATCACATTCCCAACATGCCAACTGCCCTCTCCCTGTACCTGGCGCTACAGGCTTCCTCTTATATACTACACCTTATCTTATCCATCCTTGACACCACACATCCATCGCAACATTGTGGCATTTTTCGAAGGAAGCCTATTTTCAACCCCTGCTCTTTTAAATTTTGTATTAAAATATTATATTAAATCTACAGCTCAAACCGCTGAATGAAAATGCATGAAGTTGGAACAATAACTTCCTTTTATTATGTAGGCATCCACTAAGAAAGAAGTTTTAAAAAATTAAAATCCTTAGATAGTAAAATAAGGTTTTAAGAATGTTTTATTACGAGGTGATTTCATATTGGTATAGGGATAAATAATTAAATGATTATAGTAACTTTAAAATTAGTTCGAATACTTTAAGTTTAAAATAATGCAATTAGTTTTTTTTTAATTTTTTAATTTTAAAAGTGTTACAACCAGGATACATTGTTTGCGCGGAAAAAATTGTTTTTAATTGCATGGTGGTGGGGAAATCCGTAAAACGAAATAATGACAATTATGAATAATACTTATTATCTAGAACTTTACAAAAATCTGCCCTTATTGATCATTATATAACTACAAAATATAAAAAATTGTCTGTTTATCATTGTGTCCGAGTTATCCGACAAAAATATAGTGATATCATATAAAGATAAAACGGTTTTACGTGCTTACTGCGGCATGAGGATGAAACACTGCTAAACCCCTGACTCCAGGCTGCTACTGACAATTTCTTGATAGAAAACCCAACTGATTTTAAGCCCGATCACACCTATGACTTAAAGGTCAAAAAACTTTCCTAGGTTGAGTTTAGTTTTATTTTTTATTTGTTTGCAGGATGAGAGATATAGATACTTGCACAATTTCATTATTTTGTTAGTGTAGTTACTTGGTTTTAGGTAAGCATTGGATTGTAGTTTATCATTTAAAATTTTTTATTCAATATCAATAATTAGTGATGGTGGTATTTAGGGCAATATCTTATTTGTTGTATGAAAACCAAATATTGGCTAGAGAAATTCGGAAGCAAATTAGGTATTACGTTACGTTTACAAAATAAAACACAAGCGTAGGTACATTTTGCCCTAAGATTAGTGTCTTTCTAAGTTTTCGCGACAGTTAAATTTACAAATAAATCATCACCACATAGAATAACAAAAGTTCTGATTCCACGTAAACAAAGTCCCGGGCACAGCTAGTTCTAAAATATAAATACAAACTCCCTTTCTTCTGTGAATTTTCTTAGTGCATATTACTATACAAAGATTTTTGATTATTATAATGTACATAAATTAACAGTAGTATCACACATCGTATAAGTTACAATCAAACCTCTATCCCGGTCACTTCTGTCGTTCTGTCGTTCTGTCGTTAATATTAGATACTTTTTCCCTTATTCTCTTTATTTTTTGGCCATTAAACACCATAAAGTCACTAACATCTAGTTAATCCTGTTATGCTTAGGAAATCTAGTTTAGCCTAGGAAAAACTAACCGAAGGTTGGATTTGACTGGTAACAAACTGACTGCAGGCTTCAATTAAACTAGTTTTGACCAGGATAAGTTCTAGTTGTTAACTTAAATACAAATTGCCATAAAATTTAAAATTAAGCTTAAGATGAAGAAGCTTCAAATTGAGCAAATTACTCTGCTCTAAAACAATAGAAAAATAAAGGTTTTTAAATTACAAAAAACTAAAAGGTATTAAATAATGTTCACATAATTATTTAGCTTCAGTTGTCGGTGTCGGTAGAGTGGCTTTTACTTAAGTATTTGACCCTTCTTTTTTATCACATCAAACTTGCAAAAAAAATCATCTCTATTTTACTACCTACTCTTTGGAGCGGAATTTCTTAATTACATAAACAATACAAAACAAACACGAAAACAACACAAAGTTAACGCGTAACATACAAAAAATACATTAATTAATAAACTTCCATTCATTCATTCATTTTGAAGTAAGTTAAAAATAGTGTCATTGTGTCTTTTTTATACTTATTTTCAGACCGTAAAACTTTACGTGGCAAGTTTAATAACACCCTAAAACGTTACCTGTTCATGATTTAATACAATTATGTTGCTATTACCATTTTAAAATTCATTATTTACAGTTTTACTTGAAGTAATGAACGCTCCGACAGTTACTTTCAACGCTCTTAAAATGAAAACAGCTATCGAACTTGTTGCTATTTTTGTGACGCACATGATAGCATTGAGCAGCACTGAATGAAACCCTAACCTGCGCCAATTATCCTATTGGTTCTTTCCGTTGATATTTTTAGCATAATAAATGACAAGGTACTTTTTGTATGACCTAAAATAGATTGCGAGAACGTGAATAATGCGTGTAAGTATTAAAATATTTTACGCTATAAGATTTTACTAAAACCTTTTTAAATTAATTATACAAAAAATATAGTTTCTATATAGTATAATTGAGTATTCATCATCATCATCATCATCATCATTATTACAGCCCTTCACAAGTCCACTGCTGAGCCACCTGCATCCATCGACTTCCTGCATGTCTTACAAGGTCGTCGCTCCATCTATTGGGGGATTGCTCTACACTCCGCATACCGACCAGTACGAGGCTGCCACTCGAAAACCTTTTTTCCTCATCGGTTGTCGGTTCTTCGAACTATACGGACGGCCCATTTACACTTCAGCTTACAAATCCGTTGAGCGGTTCTGGTTCTATTGCGATATCCTCATTTCTAAGTTTATCACGCAGAGAAACCCCGAGCATAGCCCTATCCATAGCTCGCTGAGCGACGTTGAGTGCCTTACAATAGGCGCGTGCGGATTCTCTGCCACTGTTCTCAGGATGCTGTTTTCACTTTTCCGTATCCTTCTCATTCATTAGCGACGCTACTTTTTTCCGAACTACGGGATGAAAACCGTTAGTTCGGGTCTGTGCAAACATACCAGAGGCACTACAAAAGCAGAGAAGTGCCAACATCATCCTGAAAACGTTACTGTACTGGACGAACAGGGTGTTTAACGAAATGTTGGCATACCCAATCCACAGACCACCCGTGCTATGCTGTGCTGCTGTGCTGCACAATTTTATGTGAAATTGATACATTTTGAATTTTATTAAGTAATTAATTTCCTATATCGCATTCTATAGTCTGTAATCCCCGAGGAGATAGACAGGTTCCTAAAAAATATCGCTTATAGTTTTCGTGATAACAGCAATAAACTGATCTTAAATGATTTTTGATTACTAAACCACTTTCACAAAGACTAATATGTTGCAAGTTTTTTGTTTACATTCTACGCGGACGAGGTCGCGGGTAAGAACCAGTTAATTCAACAATCCGTATCCAATCGTACAAAACCAGGCATTTACCAATAAAAACCAATTAAATTATCTCTACAACCAGGTCTACTTATATGCACCAAAAAACATGCAGCGCAAACGTGTTTGAGCCATGCTTCATATGCGTGATACATGCTATATTATGGTTGCAGCACGAATGGGTCGACCGCGCTCTTACAGAATAACAACGTAAAATAGCAAATAGCAGCTCAATGTTCCTATGTTTCGTATGGTGAGTGTAGAGAACCGGAGACCCTCTTTACTGGAAACGAGGCATTCCATTTCAGTCCTCAGGGGTGCAACGCATCTGTACTTCGATTTTTAATCGAGGATAGATGTAGATGTCTATGGGCCACAGCATTCACTTACCACCAGTTGAACTGTGTGCTCGTTTGTGATCCTTATTCTATAGAAATAGAAGGATTTAACGTAAAACGTGTAAATATCCAGGTGCTCTGCATTTTCCTTTGCTTTGGATCACTATCGGCGTCCGAAGAGACTATTCAAGAGTCCATCGAACGTGCTCTACGAAGTCCTAACATTGATAAAGTGTTAAACTCGGTACTGGGGCGATTGGAGAGTAACCGACAACATGAACACCAATACGCCCAGGAAGAAGATTGTGAAGAACCATCAGAGGTAAAACTTTACAAACTTTTAAATAAAACTAGTTTTTTACGGATATTATCACGTATATTTACTTACTTTGTACTCTCGACGTTTCGAGTACTTTACAGCACCCATGGTTACGGGGAGATTAAAGTATTGGACGACCCAATAGTTAAAGTTAAGTACGGTTACCTTCAGATTAAATTTATAATTTAACACTAAGCAGTATAGTAGTACTTATAGTATCTTGATTTTATTAATTATAGGATCCCAAGCATCCAACCATCCAAATAAAGTTAAAAATGGAGAACAAAGGGGAAACTTTTAAGAGTTTTACATTTTTTTATAGAATAAATTTAACAAACGAGCACACAGTCCACTTGATGGTAAGTGGAACTTTGGCCCGTAGACACTGTTCTTCTCTACACTGACTATACGAAACACAGTAGCATTAAGCTGCTCTTTTACGCTGATATTCTGTGAGATCGTGGTCCTTCCCCGGTCGAGCCGACCCATTCCTGCTACAACCATTATGTACTCGTAGCTGCAGCGTGGCTCTACCACGTATAATTTTTTTTAAGTGAAAGTTTTTAGTACTCGTATGATGCGATCTCCGACGTTACCTCAAGATTTCCTATCGCTAGATTCGAGTGTCTTCATTATAATATTCGAATTACTCTAAGTAGCGGAATGCTTTACGTTCAAGTATTGGTAATGTGAAAGATCTTGTAATAATCATTTTATAATCAGGTTTTACCCGAATATACGGAGACCTTGCAGAGAGCGCTGGAACGAGGTTTGAGGCAGCTGGGCGTTCAGGTAATCACTATTACGATTACTGTAATATATATAATATATATATATATATATATAGATCATAAACATTTATTATTCGATACATATTTAAATATTCTATATGTATCGATTAATAAAAAAAACACATATTTTGTGTAGTGGTTAAAGTAAATTGTGATAAACCAATTTTTATTTCCAGAAATTTGTATTGACAAATTTGTTATAAAAATATAATGAAAACTAAGCTGAACAACTATTATCATAAACAGTATTCCTTTAGCTGGCATTTTATCTCTGAATGTATCTACTTAGCTTTTGAGCTAAAAAAGAACTTAGCCGCACGTGGACTCTATGGATCATGGAGCTTAAAGAGAAGGAAAACGATCGCTGTAGAAAATAGTGTCCCAGAAATATAGAGAAATTAAGTGAGGCGCTGCGATTGCTAAATTCTCCTAACCACTTGCACATCCATGCACAATAAAATATTAAATAAAAAAAAATTACGAAGCGTGATTATTTTTGCACCAATGCTGCGAAGAAAATTTGTACATTATTCAAATAACTTCATCTACTTGCACTCATAAACAGCTAACTTCGCAGCCACTACTCACCGACGGCAGCGCCGCTATAAATTCTACAAATTGTCAGGGACAGACGGGATAAGCTTTAGTATGTAGCGATGGTTCTCCTTCTCTCTAACTTCCATGCTATGGATAGTCTCTACAGCAAATACCACTTATATATAGTAATATCTCGAAATGCCAGATCGGAAGACCAAACAATCTGGAACTTTTTTTAAAAAGTCGGGATTATGGGGTTGTTTTCGGGAGAAATAAATATTAAAAGTAAAAGTTTATTTTTTAAATTAATAGGCTACAATAACTTTGTTGACACAACTAATTTAAGTACAATTAATTTTTGGGTAGCCACATGTGTTTGGCATTGGACTTTACCGAGTCCAGCATTTTGGATCCTTTAGTAGTATTCAGAAAATATTTAAAATTCAAACAATTTACTTCAAAGTTCAGTCTAATTATCAACTCAGCTTTTATTAAATCAAAGGCAGCTACTATGTGAAGATAAGCTGTGTCTGGAGAGTTTGAGTTTTATCGGCTGTCTGGAGATCATTTAAAATGTCAGGGGAATCCAGACGAATCCCCACCATTTGGCAACCCCATATCTCAGAGAATCATATCTGCGCGACTTACCCAGTTCAGCTGCCTCTGATGCCATCTTGGCACTAATCGAGGTATCCCTGAGATGAGAGGCTGCCAAAGTGTTTACTGACGTAGCATCGTACACTACAGCTTTACCTCTCTCCCAAGGGAAAGTCTGGTCTGGTCCGTGTCTCCTGGCATCTGTATTCGACCATATTATTCAAACATAGGGGTCAAGGGTTCTACGAATAACGTCGTTCGGAGAACCCGGAGGGAAAATCCTAACAGCATTTATCTTTAATGAAAGTCCGTGAAAACCAAACTCACTGGTAACTACAGAACTTTCGAAACAAATCTTTTTCCTTATTAGGTACGATCGGAATATTCCACTGTTTCTGTCGGTTAACTTTTTACTGGAGAGAGTGTTTGCAATTTAGCCATGCCTCCGCAGCAAAGCGGGTCCAATTTATTTTGAAAATATTGCTACATACCTAAGTTACTGACATGTAAGGGATTTATGTAGCAATACTCGGACGCTCAGATTAATAAGAGGATACTACGCTCGGAAACAAGGCAGTGCACCTCCAAATATAGGTATCAGTAAAATTATTCACTGAGTGGAATAAAACAATTTTTAATAATATTAATCTTAATCTTTAATCTTTTTTAAAAAACGTTACCCATACACTAGGATTTTCTCCTGTATCGTGGAGGCAGTTTACAAACATAAATTGCACAAGGACAAACGTCCAGACCCGGAACAGTTATTTGTAGGCCATACAAATACTTGTTCCGTGCGGGATTCGAACCCGCGACTTCCAGCGCAGCTACTCATTGCTAAGCCACTGCGCCACGGAGCCATCGAAAATAAGTAATTAATAAATTCCAGTTCTCAATGTCAAAATTATGTTGACTAGGTTCTGGTAAACAATGGAACGAATGAACGTGGTATGGAGTTAAAATGTGGAATCGACAAAATTCTAGTCGACTAGACTGCAATAACAATCTAGAACTTTTATGATTATGATAAAATAATATGATATGATTTTACATATTACCAGCGATACGCCCTTGCTTCGCGCGGGTCACTTCTGTATGTGCATAACAGCGCCATCTACCGGATCCAATTGTGAACCTAAACTATTCTCGAATAAACAAAATTTCACCAAAATCTGTCCAGACATTTAGTCACATACACACGGACAGAAGAATTACAAATATAAAGTTTGATTGGTGTGTCAGTTGCAGTTACGACAATGCAACTGCAGTTTTATATTATTTTGTTCGTTAATCAGTCAATTCACTGTGTTAAATAAATCACTTAGACCGCCATATAAAGGGAGATTTCCGAAAACTTTCCAATGCGAGAGGGCTACAGCAATTTACCTATTTCTGTTCATTACAGAATTATTTTATACTGCTTTTTTTCATATTAAACTGGTTTTTATTAATTGCTTTTAATAACATTTTTACCCAATTTAATTGTCCTAAAGCCTAACGATAAAAAAATTGCCAGCATCTTGTGAAATAACAATAAAATCTCTTTTAAAGAACAAAAAGAATATAATGTATAATTGTTAGACATTTATCGAAAAAAAACTTAAATGAATATAGCTGCCACAGATTGCTGTAAAAATTTCATATCTTAGCCTAGGTATAACTTAAAAATGTTTGTAATAAAGGAGAGAGGTGAGATGAATTTTGGGCTTGACTGATTATTGATTATTTTATTAATTAACCATATCTATGTCCATAACACGCGATCAGTTTTAACCAATACACAGATGATATAGATTTTATTAGAACCTACCTATAATGTAAAATACATCGAAGTTGCACAAATGTGTGTTTATTTCAGAAGCATCATCCCTTATGCCACTTGGAAAGAAAAATCCATAGGCTAAACACAAACGAATACGAATATCGGCCGGCGTATTACGAAGAGGTGCGATGTACAACGACATCTGACGACGACGTCGGTGTAAGCAACGAGGTAGGCATGATATAATATCTTGATCATTTGAAAAATGAGATGTAAAAGGAAATTTAGTATATATACGTTATCCATAATTTTTGTTACTAAGTAGATGATTAATTTTATTATAACAGTTATAAAAATTTACTCAATCTCTTTCAGATATGTTCGAGCCTTGGGTTATCTTGTGTACAATGGAATAAAACAATCCATTTAACTAGACGACGTTATTCAAGGTAACAACTATGCATCAAATCTTAGAGAGAAGACATAATTTAATATTATTATATCGAATATTGAGATTTCAGACTGAATACCAGTTTAAGCAGTAGCTACTTCCCAGACGCTAGACGCATTTCACACTAAAAAGTTAAATAAAATTACAACAAAATTTAGTAGCCTCTGCATAACACCCCCTCTGGGTAACAGTTGTGAGAGTTTATAATAAGTTATGTTATGTTATGAACCCTGTGTTCGTTTCTTTTTGTATAATATGTCTGTAGGGTTACTTTACTCCCTGCATTCACCGTGTCGTGGCGGTGTAAGAATATGCACTACCCCATATGATTGCGTGAGTGTCGTAAGTGGCGACAGAGGGAAACAAGTGAGGAGATGTCGAACTGACACGACTAAAAACCTTCAAGAAACGAGCTTAGACGAGCTTAGCTCAGGTGAGCCGTGTGCTTGTTTGCCTCCTCTTCTATACAAAAGATAGGCAGTAGTGCTTTTCTAATTCCATTAAAAAAAAACATGGGGCTCTCAACACGATAACTAAGCATGGCAACTATATAAATATCCCTCTTTGATGCAATTTATGGGGGAGGCATATGCTAGTGGACTATAAGTGAGCATTAACGATAACTTTAATGATAACACAACTCTCTAAACGACATGACAATTTTAATGACAAAATATAACACTTAAAATGTAACAAAATATAATTAAATTGAGTTAATAAGTATGCTATAAAAACAAACAAATACACGTGTACAAATATCAGGGTTTTAGTTTGTTTTTCTTCATATAAAACACACTTGCAGTGAGGTAGTTCACATTGTATACAAGTGTGTGCTAAAAGAAATTAATTTGAGTTCGATACTTCTATTGTTATTGTGATAACATCGTACTCGACGTATTTCTACGTAAATTTTGTCACAATTGTTCAATTTGACAAATTTTATTTTAGCGATTGTTGGGAAACCAAAACGATGGTGATACCAGCTGGCTGCGAATGCATGTGGCCCATTCACCGTCTGGGCGACATTACACATCACATCTAAAACCCTGGCAACGCTAGCTCAACTTGAGGAAAGTTTTCGTTTTTTAAGGAAATTAGTGCATAATAACATTAACCAGTTTATATTGGCATTGTATGTTAATAAACGATATTGCGTAGTAAATAATAAGCAGACCGAAATATAATCCACGCGAGTGTCTTGTGTAATTAAAAATAATTGATATGAGATGTAAGCTTATGAGATGATTATGGTATTCGGAAGTCATTAAAACTTTTTTGGCAAAAAATGTGTTTCATTTATTTAATCACTACATTTTGCTGCAAAATTATATTTTTAATTAGAGATCCGCTGCGGCTTCGCTTGGGTAGGGCGTTATTTAGACCAATCAACATTTCTTTTCCTCGAAAAATCGTCAGGTTTTTTGAGGAAAATATAGTTTAGATCACTCCTGACACTACTCTTTATCTGTTCGTAAAGCCCGGACAGACAAAAATTAAAAAAAAATTCATGTTTTAATGACATGTAAATAACCCCTTAATCTAAATATAAGGGATTTATTTTTTATAGGATAGGGTAACAAACGAGCACACGGTACACCTGATGGTAAGTGGTCGCTGTGGCTCATAGTCACCTACATCTATCCTCGATCACGAATCAAAATGCAGATGCGTTGTCACCCGTGAGGACTAAGATGGAATGCCTCATTTCCAGTAAAAAGGGTCTCCGGTTCTCTACACTCACCAAATGAAACACAGCAGCATTAAGCTACTATTTGACGCTGGTATTCTGTGAGAGCGTGGTCCATCCCCGGACAAGCCGACCCATTCGTGCTACAACTCTACTACTGATATATAACTGCAGCATAGCTCTACCGCGTATAAAAGTTATTTTCATATTACAGAGAAACACCACAATTTTGTTTATTTTGTACATACGTGTTATATTATGTTTTATGTACGTATGTATGTTTTGATTACAATTAAAGATTTGTGACCATTGTGTGGTGGCGGTGGAAGAAAATATCAATTTATTACGTCTCTATTGGAAATGTCAGAAATATATTAAGGCTTCTGACAGATAACTGTATAACTAGGTACGTGTTTACTTCAGTCGTGAAATACCAAGAACCTGGTATACTGAACTGCGTCATTAATGATCGATCACCGATCACCAATCACGTCATCGATCTCTGTGTGGCAATTTTAACAAGTCCTACTACGGAAGACACCCATGTCCAGTAGTGGACATCTACAAACTGATTAAGTTGACTATTGTAAAGTTACAGCCTATTTACGTCTCACTTTTGGGCACAGACACATTCTTCAAATTTACAAAATATAGTTTATTTCACAGGCACGCATGTTTCCTCACGATCTTTTCCCTTACCACTGAGCACGTGTTAAATCAACACTTAAACTGGATCCAACGATTTCACTGGTACTGTTAAACTTGCGGCGAGACCAGAAAGTTTACGAGGTTATTATATTATGTTATACATTGGAGGTGATCCAATATAAATATAATTTACCATGTACTTTATAATCCTTAGTAAGCCTTTAAAAAAAGTAAAATATTTTTCTTTTATACCAACACTAGAATGTAAGGATTTCCGCTACTTTTTTATAGCTTTGGGTGACAAACGAGCACACAGTTCACCTGATGGTAAGTGGATGCTGTGGCAACCACATTTATCCTCAACTAATAATCAAAATGCAAATGGGATGTCATCCCTAAGGACTGAGATGGAATGCTTCGATTCCAGTAAAAAGGGTCTCGGGTACTCTACACTCACCATACGAAATACAGCAGCATTACGCTGCTATTTTACGGTGGTATTCGGTGAGAGCTGGGACTGCCCCGGTCAAGCAGAACTATTCGTGTTACAACTATAATATAGCTGCAGCGTGGCTCTACCACATGTAAAAAAATTAACATTTAATAAATATTAAAAACCGTACAATACATGCTAAGACAGGAGACTAGAGACAGTGTCCAGAGGAAATTAAGCCGTATCATTTGGAAATTATTTCATTATTTCTAGTTTTTTTTAACTTCCCGCTAAGAAAATTGAAAATTTTCAAAAGTAGGAAAATTTTCAAAAATAGGTTTCGCCCCGATTTTCGAAAAGCGAGTTTTCATCAGATCTCGACGTTTTGAGATCCCAGGAAGCTCCGTCCGGAAGCCCAGAGAGCAGATCCCAGGGGAATCCGTACCCCCCCCCCCGAACGGGTTCCCGCCTTGTCGTGGCGGGGGGGCTTATTAGCCGTGGCTTGGTCTCCCACGGTGAACAAAGAGGAACCCACGTGGCTGGTCCGAGGTGAAGGGCCGGCCTGAGGTGGCCGCTCCGAGTGGGCTTGGGGAGCCCACTTCGTATGTGTGCTGGTGGACTGCAGCGAGTGGGGACTCGCGCACCCTCTACCGCTGCAGCCGAGGTGGAGTCGCGGAGGAAGAGGAGTGTTGGTATGGCGATGCGCCACTCACCCTATCCTTCGCGACCCAAACGGGGCCGCACCGTTGATGCGGTGGTGGTGGGGCTGCGGGGGGAGAGGATTGTCGGTATTACGAGGCGCCGCTCTCCCTACCCTCCGCAGCCGAATCTTGGTTGGCGGCGGAGCCATAGACCAGATCCGCCGCTGGGGTCGGGAAGGCTAGTACTTCTAAGTGCTCGTTTTTCCTGGCCCCATGGCCTTTGTGCATCGGACGCGGGGGGCGTCTGTTGCACAGACATAGTTGGAGGCCGTGGAGGAAGGCGCGCCATGTGTTCTGGTGCGCCTTACCTGGGAAGGAGAACGGGGAGGAATTTTCCTCTCCCGAGGAGGTGCTGCCATGGGGCGGCAAGCGCTAGTAGGGCCGCGGATGTGTGCGAAAGCGTTCCCGTAGCCCTGCCAATATGCGACAAAGGTGGAACACCATGGGGTTTTAGTCGGTGCGAGTCCGACATAACCCGTCCTTGCCCCCGCGAGGCGGGTATGCGTAGGCATTTCCCCATGCAAAAAAAAAGGGGAATCCGTACGGACGTATGTATGTGTGTAAGTATGTAAACCTTTCATAACTTTTGAACGTCTCGATCCATTGAGATGCGGTATGCGGCGTTCTAAAAATATCTATGTGGAATAGATTCGGTGATAATATGAACTGATTCGGATGAGTATTTTTTGAGAAATCTCAAAAATAAAAAATAAAAAAACTGTTTTTTGGAATAACTTTTAAACGGCTTTACCGATCGATTTCAAAAACTATTTATCTCTTAACCTCAAAAAATGACGTCGAATGCCGTTTGGAAAATAAAAATCGGTTCATTCATTCGAAGGAAAAAGAATTTGAAAAAACGATATGTTAACATAACTTCGAGATTTCGCAACATAATTTGTTGAAATTTAAGCGCTTTGCATTTGAAGTTAGCGGGATGTTCCAAGAATGGCCTGCAGGGTCAACCAATTTTTTATTTAATAAATGTGCCAAGCGATCACACAGTCTACCTGATGGTAAGTGGATACTATGGCCCAAAGACATCTATCACCGATTAATAATTAATATGCAGATGCTTTGTCACCCCTGCAGTACCTTGGAATGTCTCTTTACCAGTAAAACAGGTATTCAGTCCTAACCACTCACCATACACCACCATAAGCAAAACAGCAAGACTATTCTGCTGTTACACGCTGGTATTCTGTGGGAGTGTGGTCCTGCGTCGGTCGACTACGTAATAAGTTTTTAATTTTATTTAACCTTAATTTTGTTAAACAAGACGTTTTTATGATGTAATAATGTTATAAGCCGCCCTTATGGGATATGCTTAACCTTTTTGATATATAATATGAAAGTATTAAATTAGTTCAGCTGTTTCCGAACAGTCGGTCTACATACATAAAAAGGAAAATACAGTCGAATTTAAAAGCTCCTCGTTTGAATTCCGTTAAAATAAAATAGTAAAGGGTTGATCTAACCTATGAAAGTGTAGTAGTATAAAATTGATTATCACTATGAATTCCCTAATAATATGTCTTTGAAAAATCTTCTAATCCTTCTTTTAATTAATAACGGCGATGTAGACCAATACTCGTAATATTACGATAAGTATAAGTTTCGCTAAGCATAATTATGCACAAATCATGCGAATAAATAATTCAAAATACGATGTCCTAAACACAAACAGTGGGCTTTCACCTAAGGCAATATACCGTGAGGAATCAGAGCCACGGAGTACTTTGTATATAACAGTTCGTTTTTCGAATAGCGCGGGTGAGGCTGCGTCGCGATCGCGTTAATTCAACATTTCGTCAAGATCGTAACATCAACTTATCAGTAAGTCGATATATTTACAAACTCAAACACAACAAACCAAACAAAACAACAACAATTTTGTCCTGCATATTAAAAAGAACGAAAGAAAATTGACCTTTATATTAAAAAAATTAAGAAAATTACTATATTAAATTTTTGCCCATATTAAAATAGTCAATTTCAAAACTTGCGATATTGTTTTTGAGGTTTTTACAAATTTTTTCGTTTGGATGGCGGTTATTAAGACCTCCTAAATTTCACCATAGGCCTTTATTATTATTGTTATTATTTTTATTATACTCCCTCTTCGTGAATGTGGTTTTTTTGTTTTATAATATATTTTATATAATTTTTAAAATGTTATAAATGCAGATAAATCGTACGCTTTTATTACTAAACTAATGTCGTAGTCAAAAAACAACCTGGTTTCAGCTGCCCAATCAGTTCAAAGGCGAAGTGTGTCGAAGAGTTAAGGGTTTGTCATTAGTAGCTATTAAATTATGTGTAAATTATTGGTCTAGCGCCTGAGCTCTCTCGAAGCGTGTCTGATTGCGATTTGATGATTGTGATTGAATAGAGTGCACCTGTGCCTGCGTATAAATTTTGACACTACAATTCTGTAATGTACAGATAAACCCTCTCAGAAATGAGAGGAGGCCTGTGCCCAGCAGTGAGACGTATATAGGCTGTAACTTTACATTTACTTTTTACAGATAAGCCAGTCTCCGTGGAGACTAGCCTATCTGCACTGGGACCTA